CTCTCTCTCTCTCTCTCTCTCTCTCTCTCTCTCTCTCTCTCTCTCTCTCTCTGTGATCACTGATTGGTATTTAGGTACTGATCGGTTGAGAAACACTGATCATTTTTCTCCAGGTGAGGCATATGCTCAATGACCGAAAAAGGCTACGTAAAGTGATCGATCCTAACATAAACAAAAACACCTTCACACTGGAGTCTATTGCGATGTTTGCAAACCTAGCATCTCGATGTGTCCGTATAGAGAGCAGCGAGAGGCCTACCATGTTGGAATGCGTGAGAGAATTGCAGCTCATACTTCTAGCAAATGCCAAAGCCATTGGCAAGCAAACTGCTCTCTGAATTCTCCCAGATATTGTAGAAGTTCAAATTCAACCTGTACCAAGTTAATCTATCTTAATTATACCCTTCAGCTGTTTAGCTAAGAACATAAATTCAGGTGTATATCACCAAAGAAACCATGGATCTTGTGCTATAGATCTGTAGAAGTAAGAAGACATCATGGGTTGGCCATTTGAGTGAAAAGGCCAAACCCCAATGATTTAATACCATTTCTCCCAAAAGAGGGAAAATAAAGGAGAAAGCTGGCCTCCCTATGAAAGGCCTTGGAAATTTTGCATGGTGGGGATGCCCATTTCCTTGGAGCACTTGGGTATACTTGAAGGTATGAATAACGTTTTAAGTGAATAATATTATATGGTCTTTCTGGAGAAAAATGTACATTTACTCACTATGGTGAAATACTAGTTAGAAGTATCTTTATGCCCTTGGCGAGAAAAGATACGGGAACTTATGGTCTCATTGAGGGTATGACCTTTAATAGAGCGTAATGGCGGATCGGGATTCGTGGCCAACTCCAATTAATTGGGAGAAGGTTACGACGATGACGATGAAATATTGTGAATATTGCCTAAACTAAGCATTCAACCTAGATAAGGAAATTTTGTACTTTATATTTGCTTGAAAAATAAATATCTTAGGAATGAATAGAGGTCATTAGTTGAAATTTGGATACCATAAAAGTGCTCAAAAAATAATGTATTGACGAAAATTAGTGGAAGCTCACAAGCCTTACTTCAACAGGTTATGTTCATTCAATAGAATTCCAAACAAACAAATGCTTTTGGGTGAAAAATTCCAAAAAACAATAGGGAATTCTTAAAAGAAACCTCAACACGACCTCTATTTATAGACTATTTGGATGTCTTAATCGTGTAGGCGTAACATGTCTCTCTAATATTATAATTTTGTTATGACTTTATTTTTGAAATGGCAGCTTAAGCCCTATAATGATGAGAGCTTCTTCATTACGTATGACCCATGAACTAGGTTGAAAACCACATCTAAGCATTGTGCATAATCGGCTTGCATCAGTCTCCCCTGAATTAGAGAGAACTCGCCCTTGAGTTTAAAGCGCCTGTGAACTTCTTCTATGCTTTTTCATCCGTTATTATCAACTCTTATGAAATCCACAAAATCTCTTACACATCTTTTAATTGGATCAAATACTGGCTATAAGAATTACTGGCAGTAGTGGCACGAATATCAAGAACCTTCTGGTTCTTCTGACCAACCTTCTTCTGCATTTGCACTTTACATTCAGTGATCTCTGCATCCACAGGATCTCCATGACACTCCTATAGATAAGATGGTATTTAAGATATGAGAGATCACATACCCCTCTGGATGCTCAAACTTGTAGGCACTACTATCAATTTTCTGGCGCATACGGCATGGGCTAATCTTTTTGTATTTGAGCTTATGGAGTTTGTCAACACGAAAGCGCTCCACCATCACCAAACCACCTTCATTAGACTCTTTTTCTCGCCCATATTGATCAACATCTACCTCGTAGTTGTCGTAACTTTCTTGAAGCTTTTCCAATACCTGCTTATGAACCTCATGAACGTGCTGGGCTAAGGCTTCTGCATATCGCAAGCTTGCTCTTTCTCAGATAGAGAAACCAAATGTAGCATCATTTTTTGCTATTGTCCACACTATTTGGAAAAGGCAAGTTATTGATTGATTTATTGTTCTACTATAGGCAAATTCAGCTTGTGGCAGAATCTGATCCTACTGTGAAGGCTCGTCTCCTGCAAGGCACCACAATCGATTATCTGGACTTCCATTACAGCCTCAGTATGACCATGAATCTGAGTGTGATATGCATTGTTGTACTGGAGTCGAGTTTCAAATTTCTTCCATAGGGTTCGTCAAAAGTTACTCACAAACCCTATATCCTAATCACAAATAATGGTCTTAAGAACTCCATGAAGCTGATCCACCTCCTTGAACATATCAGCTACATGTGGGGCATCAAGACTATTCTTGCAAGGAATAAAATGTATCATCTTTGAAAATCTTCCACAAAAAAGGTAGAATCCCAGCCTCTAGCAATGCGAGGAAGTCTACTACAAAATCCATATTCTCTCTCTAAAATTTTAAATTACTTTCTCTCTCTAAAACTTGAAAGTTGATATAATTTCTCTCCCTAAAAAAGTTGAGATAGTTTCTTACTCTAAAACTTTTCAGTAGTTTGTCTCTCTAAAATTTGATATAGGTTATCTTTTTAAAACTTAAAATTTAAGGTAGTTTCTCTAATTTGTCGGGATGATTTGGTATAATTAATTGTATTTAATAAAGTGGGCAGCTAAATATTTAAAATTTAAGGTAGTTTCTCTCTCTAACTTGTCAAGATGTTTGGTAGAATTATTTGTGTTTAATAAAGTGAGCAGCTCTAGTGCGTGAAAATGGTATTATGATGAGTTGTATTATATTGTATTACCTCTTTGATGTTTATACAAAGTTATGTGTTGGATAACCCAATTTTTTTCGTGTATCCATGTTTTCACCCTCTTACGAAAAATATGATTATGTATCAAAAAAAAGTTGCCATGTTTTTACGCAAGATACGTAGATATACAAAACATGGCTTTGTACTTCTATCCATCCATTTATTCTCTCTCTCTCTCTCTCTCTCAACACGCAGTCACTTCTAATCGGAAGTAATATTGCATTGATTTACACAACATTAACCTTATATCAACTTCCAATCCAAGGAAACATTGGATTATTTTGTAGAATACTACAGTTGCTCGTGGAAGCGATTATAATCACCAGGCACTTCATTTACACTTATCTTGAATCTACAAATCAAGAATATTATATTTGAACGAGAGGAGGGAGGGAACTGCAGGACATACAGGCAGAACAAGAGTCGAACATTCCAGCTCGTACCTTCTATTCTGCAAACACTGTGCTTGTATCAAAATAGAGTCACCATTTGTGTGATGGGTTTCATGGATCACAGTCCATATCAGAAGAACTTGAGAAACGGGAAAATGAGCTAGAGCGATCTGAATATACCAAGATTCTTGGGAGGAGAAAGCTTCTTGTACATCAAATATTTACGCCTCTGAAGGCTCAGTAGTGTCAGAATATTATCCGTTTCTACTACATTATAATTGGCCTTCTTATACATATTGAGAGCAGGAGTATCAATCATCCTGCAGTGCAAGTATATTTCATTCAGTCCAATCTGAGGCACCAATTCCTCAGATGCCTTCAGAAGATGCCAACCGATACCTCTCCTGCAAAAGACAAATAAACTTTCTAAGCTCCTATATTTGGAGTAAAAACATGAAGTCAATACTGCCTCTCTGAAACTAGGATCCCATTCTCTGTTTGAAAAATGAAATGTCAATAATACCAATGAAAATTATTATCGCAAGAAAAATAGATGCACAGAAGAAACATAAAAGCAGTCCGTCTCATAAAACCCTGTGAAGCTAAGAACTGTTGATGGGTATTAGAACTGAAAGCTAAAATGGCCCATGAAACTCATGTGTTTCACCAATATTTTTGCGTCCAAAATATAAAGGAAAAATATAATATTTGTAGAGATAATCAGGCTTTGGGTTTCAAGTAATAGATGGAAGATGCACATAACATTGAACTAGTGCTAGAGATATAAGGTGCATCTATTTTCAGGTGAAAGTCGGGGCCATTATTGGGTACACAAGTGGTCACCCTCAATTATAATCATTGTTGTTAGTCGAGATGAACTAAGATGGCATAGCAAAATAACATGACCTAAGGAAAACCCTCCACATGAAAGGATCATAAACTCCAAGGGCCTGATTGGACAGATAAACAATTCCAACAACAAAGGGAGCTATTCATAAATGGAGAAAAATCTTCTCTCTCTGCAGGGTCATGGGCACCCTGGCAGCATTTTTTGGATGAACAGGGTTGCAGAAGTCTGTTACCCATGAATATAGGAATGGAGTAAGCATTGCCCTTGTCCACTCCTAAATGGTAGGAGGAAAATACGGCCCAGTTCCAAACAGTACATAAGAGACTTTAATTGGAAGCAATACGGCAAAAAATAATTTGGATTGAAGCCGCTAGATCTACTCAAGGTGGTGTTCTATATCTAAGAACTGCATCCTTAATCTTATATCAATTTTTAAGGACAAAAACTAAGTCGTTTAGAAGCAGTTTGGTTACGTGGAAATCTATTACGTGACCATACATTACAAGGAAATATGACATTTACACTGTTTGGGTACAGTAAGGAAATAGAAAGACATTAAGCAACATTACCCAAGATTTCTCCAAAAATCACCAAATCCATTACGTGCGGTGGGTGAAAAAACTATTAAGATGAGGGGTAATCTTGAGGTTGACGGGTAATCTTTGGAAATCTCGCGTGTCTCTCTGCCCTATCCCCACTTAAAACACATTTCTTTCTCTGTATTCTATAATTATTAAGGTAAGTAGAAAAGGAAAGTAGCGATATGTTTGTATTCTATACTTATTAAGGTAAGTAGAAAAGGAAAATAGCGATATGAAAAGGGGAATCTAAATTGACTTGAATAGGTATACGAGGACAATTTTGCAATCATAATAACAAATTTCTACATCCATCTATCCCCAATTTGAGTTGTAGCACTCATCTACCTCTAATATATCCCCAATTTGAGTTGTAGCCCTCATCTACCTCTAATATAAAAACAAAATTTTTTAATAATTGATTTGAACACCTTGACGAGGGACAATTTTCTACTGCAATCATGATAAAAAAAATTTGTACTTCCCTCTATCCCCAATTTGGGTTGTAACCCGCCATCAGCTCTCGTATAAAAACAAAAATAATAATTGGTAATCGATGAGAAATTACACAACACAATCATAATAAAAAATTTCACACAACATAATCCTCATAAGAGACTAGTAAAAGCTAAATTGAAATAAGATACCTCTTAGTCTCCTCCAATGCTTCAAAAATATTTTATACTACATTATCAAACCTTCTAGTTTACTAATCAAACTTCTTCCTATTTTTTAACCTGTACCATAAAGATTTTGATTTTGGTATCATAAATTTATTGCTTATTTGAAATTATATATACAGAGACATTTGAAAGACTTTTATAAAAAATAAATAAAAATAAGGTTTATCACAATAAAATCATGTTGTTCCAATCATATTATTCCAATGAATTATCATGTTGAAACCAAAGTCATGTTAGCCAAACATAGCCATATTTTCATATTTGGATGGTAATGCATTTATTATATTTCTTCCAGACATAGCCAAACAGTAGCAACATATTTCCCAAGTTGCATCTAAATACTACCCAAACAGTGACAATCCATTTGCAGGTAATGTATTACGCAGTAATGTGTTACGCTTGTAATATAGTTTACAGACAATATATTTCCATATATCCAAACGGCCCTTATTGTTAAAGAACAAAGGCAGTCTACGTACTGTTAAATGCTCCATTTAATTAAAAAACCAAAAAAAACAAAAAAGGCAGTCAATGTACGGTTAAAGGTTCCATTAATAAAAGGAAAAAGTTTAAATAAAGTAATCAACCTTATACTATAGAAGTAAGGCACCCCAAAATCTCACTAGGAAAGATGCCGAAAAACCCTCCATTTGATCATCTCGACTTGAAATATATGGGTGTGAAAAAAAAAAAAGATTTCAAATCCTAAAAATAGTGTATCTTGTAATGTATTATCTAAACTGTCCATTTTCAAGATTTTCAAGTGTTCGCAGATCTGCTAGATCTACACTATTTTTTAAGCTTTCAATACCATAATTAGAGATGAAAATAGAATTTCAGACCACCACAGGGATTTCTAGCACTAAACAGCATCTTTCGGCAGCATTTGGAGGTATGCCTTACTTTGATTGTTTAAAGAGCCAACCTTATACAAACCTCACCTTGGCAAAATTGTTGATTCAAAGGAAAATATAGAAGGGACCGCAAAATGGATCAATTATGCTTTTGAAGGGAATTCCTCCTGAGTCCTAAAATTCAGAAAGTTTTAGATGGAAATGAGCATAGGGCATATTTCCAAAGATCAAGTAACTAGGTTCTTCATAGTAGCCAGGAACTATCAGAATCAGATGCAAAGTTGTATCTTAGTATGGTTACAAGGAGCTCTCAATTTGTCTTTTTTTTTTTTACCAGTAATGGGAAGTTGTCCATTGTATATACTTTGTCTAAACCAAATGTAAACAAATCAGAAGTTAGTTAACTGTGTCGCAAGATAAAAGTGAAAAATTAAGTGAACGAGTACAAAAGAGAAAAGTTTTGGTAAAGAAAACTTAAAAATACAGTTAAAAAATTCATACTTACAAAATGAATTTCCATTTTGCACCTCAATGTTTGAAAGAACAGACAAAAGAAGATCGCAGGCTGCAGGCCACCTTATCAAAGGGGCATAATACTCATAATTAACACCAGAAATCATACACATATTTGAGCCATTTTCTATTAGATCAAGGCATTTTGGCTATTTTAAGAAAGAGATGAAACTTCTAAGCATAACAAAGATTCATTCTCGAAGTATTGAACACTAATTAAAAAGAGTAAGTACTCAAGACTAAATAAATTATGAAGATAACATAAGAGATGCTGCAGGAGTAATGAAGATAACATAACTGATAAGGAAATTAGAAGACTTCAGTACTCAAGGTTCAATACTTACGGGAAAATTGTTTCATGCGGGCTGGACCACATTTCTACATATGTGGTCCAGAAAGCGTAAAGCATCCATCTTAAAGATGGATGCAAGAAGGTGTTCCATCTAAAAACAATAGAAACTAACGGTCCAAATGTTTTCTTATTAGAATTATTATTTCTAGTTTTTAAAATTTATTTATTTATTCATATTCATGAACTCTATGTTAGAGATTACATGTCCTTAAAAATTAAGTCTTAAAATTCATCTCAAAAATAGGTCTATTAAGGGGCCCGCATTTCTACCTATGCGGGCTTGGCCGCATACAAAAACCGGGTCCATACTTATAAGCTTCAAAAATTGTACACATGAGAAAGACAGCTAAGACCTTATTAGCCTCTATGTAAATGTGAAGCAGATACAGAAATAATTTGTACAAGTTCCATGAAGCCCTGAGTAATTGTTAAAGGAGTGATAGTCCACAATCAAAATTCTTGGCTTGTCCTTGAAAAGCAATATAAACTTGCAAGAAATGCTTGAGCCCCATTCGACAACTACAGTAAAACATCTCAGCACCACTCTTTTATCTTCCATTTTGGCTCAAATCTTAGGTACATAAGCGATTATTATAAGCAATCTGTCGTCAGCCCCCATGCTTCAGTCCAACCTAGTCTCTCCAAATAATGAACACTAAATGATACATCTTCATATGAAAACCCAATAAGGATTTCTTTTACGTGGGAACAAAAGTGAGATACCATTTGCAGGAGCAGTCACCAGGTGATGAGCAACAATTTGAATAAAAACCATCTCATCCTCAGAGGGAGAAGCTTAATTGAAAGATGAATTCTATTTCAGGGAATCTGAAGTGAGATAAGAATGGTGACAGTTTTTCATATGTAAATATTGTATATTTCAGAAAGAGTACGAGCAGCAGTAAGTTTAGCGGATAGTAGCCAGTTGCATTCTAAAAAAAGGAACAGGTGTCTTGAGGGATTTTCATCCACAGCTATTCCATTTGAACAAGAGGAGAGAGAGGTGAAGAAACAATTATTGGAAAAGAGACACAATGTGGAAGCATGCAGGGTTAGATTGTGTAACCTGCATCAGCTGCCTGAAAATGTGTTGCACAGAGAGAGAGAGAGAGAGAGAGAGAGAGATGGTTCACTTGATCTGACAAGAACCCGACAATTATAGGGTGTTGTGCAGGGGCTAGTGTGACAAATGAGTGCTAAATATTTTTTATTTATGGTCCTGCATACTCGGAGAAAGATTAATGATGGAAAATAGATATTTTGGGTAGTAAAATAAGTGCATAGCTGTCATATAGAAAGCGGATGACAAAAACATTAGAAGTTTTGTACACCAGTAGCATTTTTGTAAAAACCATTTTATTAGTGACAAGATCATAGTTTTCCCTTATCTAAAATTCTTTCTTCACCACAAAGTGAATCACCTTAAGAATCCCATGTACATGGTTATGCATGGGAAAGAACACCCCAGTATACTGAAGGCCTAGATTGTCTAATTGGTGGGTGCGTGAGCAGAGACCAACCAATGAGCAAGCCCTTGGGTATGTAAATACATGTCAGGTTACCAATGTTTGACCCAAAAGCTATCCAGACTCTAAAAGAGCTAACAAGAAAAGTATGTAGTGAGGTCATGATATGTAGGATCTTCAGCGGATAGAAAGGATCAAACAAGAATATCAATGGCTTGGCCCACATATTCTCCAAACTTGCCAGGCAAAAGTCAGGTAGTGCTTAGGGAAGCCGCACAAATAGGTAAAGCTGCCAAGTGTTTTGATAACATTTCACTAAACCTCGATGTCTCTTGGACCCGGTTTGGTTTTCTAACAATCCTAATGTCAGTTTCTTATAATTCAAACCAATATTTTGCAGTCCATGCTTCTCAGAAATTTAAATACTTAACAAATAGTAAGTGATTTTTACCAAAAATTTTGTTATCAATTTACCAATTTCTTAGAAAACAGCTTAGAAAATATCATCTACAGCTTTTGATGAATGCTGAAGCCTCTTTGTCCATCCAACTTTTAGGAAAATTTATTACTTTTGGATAGAATTTGATATTTCAGCTGAAATCCACCCAATTTTTTTATTTTTTTCATGGACAATTAAGTCTAAATTCAAGCCAAACTTTTAGTTCTGGTCCCCAGCTAAAACAAAACTCATCTCCTAATATTAAAAGCATCAGATGAATACTAGACAACTAACCATAGATAGCCTGAACTTAGAATACATGGCCTTTCATAGCTGAAAACCAGTGCTGCTCCTGGATAGGACGATTCAGTGATAATTAGTGTTTCTACACTAGATAGAAAGCTTGTGGTTGAAGACTCTCAGTCAATTACTATTAGATAGGAAGTCCTATTTCATGTCTGTGGTCGCTTTGAGGGTGAACGATAAGGATGGATTGAATGCTTCAACATTATCAAAGATCAACCTTGACACACAGAGCAGCCATTAAGATGATATGAGGTTGTGGGAAAGGCTGAACAAATTGCTTATTTCTGCTGTCCTCAAAAAGGAAGCATCACCTTAAAGAGAGTGGAGTCGGTAGGGCCTAAGGATATAATGTGAAAATGGGAGATCCATTTTAACACATAACAGGAATTCTCAATTTTCTATATTCAATCATTTATAAGGGGAGTTAGCAGCATACGTTCATTTTACTCAAAGTGACGAGCTCAAGAAGAATTGTGAAACACTTCAGGTTGAGGTAGATATTCAGAGGCAATTATTCAAACTAAACAATCATTGTCCTTCTCACTGTCATATATTCAAGAAGCATTCAACGAGTTGTACTCCAATCAAGAAATATGAGCCTTTCATGCAGTATTTTTTCTTCAATAACTTACCGTATACACTTACCCAAAAAAATATTTACCCTATTCCCCCAATGCCAAACTTTCTTGTGTGACACCCTCTTCATTTGTCCATGAATCATTGGAGCAGCCATTCCCATGTTTACACATCTGAAAGGTTTCCTTATTTCTCCCACCAAAAAAAAGACCAAGCGAAAAGCATAGCTCCACCATCCACAATGTTTTCATAATTCATGATTTATAAGAATCTCATTACAGATGAGAAGAAAAAGGACTTACCCAAGAAAACCAGAAAAACTTTCTTATTTCATCTTCAACACATTGCATGGGAGTACATCCATGCACTACATTAAAACCAATTTAGGAATCATACCTTAGATAAGAGTAAGAAATGCTCAACTAGGTAAAATTTATATCCCAAACAATTTTGAACAGGCAAACAGGAAAACTATCTAACAGAGCAACCAGTAGTCCATTTCTTTAATAAACGCCATAAAATGCAATAAACATCACAAAATCCTATGTTCTCAATAAGACCACTAACATTTTATAATTCGGAAAAAAATCAGATAGTCATCAAGAACAAAATTATACAGGTGAAAGAGTTTACAACAGCAAGTAGCCAAACACGAAACCAACAAAAATTTTCACCCAAATTGATATAAGAAACCCACCACGCACTACAACAAAGGAACAAGAAAAAAGAAAAGAAAAGCAAAATGATTCAGGAAAAGGAAAATCTGAATATCCATTCCAGAAAAGACCACTATGATCATTATTATAATACCGAAAACGACAAAAGACATTAATATTCTTAAAATCAGAAAAAGAAACTACTACTCGTTCTTTTCTTTTATTTTGCTTTTCTTTCTGTTTTTTAATAGAGACAACAGTTGAATAAAGTCGGTGAATAGGCTGCCACCAAACCTATGGTCCATCAACTCACCTCCGGACTTGTTTCTTGACCGACATATTGCAGAGATAGGGCGAATTCATAGGTGGGTTCGGTGTTGGGGGGATAGCATTGGCCCCTCGAGCATTGAACGAGATCTCAACAGTGCCTGCAAGCTCCAATTCACCACCCTCCTCACTATAAAACCCCACAAGAGTCGCAGCATGAGGGAGAACTGCTCTCCTCTCCATCAAATGCTGTCTCACTAACACTCTCAACAATGGCACATAACGAAAGGGTGACCACATTGTCTCTGCAAATGAGTCAGCAAGCAATTCAACAGTCATTTCCATCTCTCTGGCATCCATGACCCTCACCTGCAAAATCCCATGATCAAATTCATGGATATATAGAAAATCCTCCAATAACTGCAGGCTTTTCAGGTCCATTTCATCAAGAAAACCACCAGCCCTCTTGAGTTCGAGGATATCAGGAGCTGGGTTTTTTACAGAAGTGGGATTTGAAGGTGAATATTGAGAATTCAGGTCAGACGAAGAAGAGGAATACGGAAAATCAGAAGATTCAGGAGTTGGGTTGTTGAGAGAAGTTTGAATTGCAGATGAACATTGAGGATTTGGATCAGAATAACAAGAGGAATCAGAAAAATCAGATGATTCAGGAGTTGGGTTGTTAAGAGAAGCTTGAATGGAAGGTGAACATAGGGGATTTGGGTCAGAAAATGAAGAAGAGGACTCGCAAGAATCAAAATCTGAAAAAGAGGACTCAGAAGAATCAAAATCAGAACAAGAAGAGCAAGAAAGGGTGGTTAAAGATTGGCTGAACTCTGAAGTTGCAGGGAAGGAGTGAGAAGATGGGTTGTGGGAGTGAAGAAGAAAGTGAGCAATCTTTGGAGGAGAGAGAAGAGAGAGATGAATGAGGGAAGGAGAAGAACATTTGGGGGAGTGAGATGGACAGAAATGGAGATACACTGACTCAAAGGGACGACAGCAGCTTGCGGCCATGCTTCTAAATCCAAAATGAAACAGTGGCCCACTCTGTTCAGTAAGAGGGAAATACGAAGTGTGATAAAGAAGATTTGCCCACCTGCGTATGGTGGGCCGTCTCAGTTAGATTCTTCGTCACGGTAGTTAGATTCGTATAGGATCCAACACATGAAATATCCGGTTTTCCAGTAACCCCACTATATTTGACCCTTTTTCGTTTGTTAGATGGGCCTAACGGTTCAAACCAAAAGGGCCAAAACCAGTGTATTAATAGCAAAAGGAAAAGGGCACGGTTTGTGTAAGGCTGACACTCTAAACAATCAAAGTGAAGCGCACCTTCAAATAAGTGCCAAGAAATAAGGTTTCAATAGTGTAAATCTTTGTGGTAGCTTTAAAATATATTTTTATATCTAATGATAAATTTTAAAGCTTCAAGAATAATGTACATCAAGCCATTCTATAAAAATTTTAAAATCTTGAAAATTGACAGGCAAAAAATACGTTAAAAGATGCATTATTTCCGGTGATGTGGTTTGATAGGGCTCTTCATCAAAATAAGTAAAACTTCACCTTATAATTCATCAAAAATTATAATTCAAGCATTGGAAAAGCTTTACATCGATCATCTTAGCTTGAACATAGTAGTTGTGAAAAAGGATAGGACTTTCAACTCTAAAAATTGTATATAAAAAATTATCTAGACTGTCTATTTCACTCTAAAAATAAATGTTCATAGACCTGCAAGTTCCGCATTATTTTTTGAGTTTCAAATTATTATTGGTGTTGTAAATTGATTTAGATCTATTATGGAGATTTTTGTTGCCGAAAGTACTTTCTAGATGTGGATTTGAGGTGAGGCTTTATTTTGTTTTTATAATGCCTAAGGCTTATAAAAACTTCATCCTTTTTTTACTTCAATTTTACTTTTAGAATTTTCACAAGCATTTAAAGAATCATAATCTACAAAGAGCTCAATGTACGGTTGACAAAAACTAAGGTAAAATCAGTACAAAAAAGAAAACATATGGACGTCCATTCATTGTAAATCCAAGTAGATCAACCATGAACTCAGAACCTCAAATACCCAAAAAGAATCACAGAACTAGCCATCACTCTTAAAGTTCAACCAGCTAAGTGATCTCCATCACTATTCTTCCCCCTCTTAATATGCTGAAAAATAACTTCTTTAGTCAACATCAGATGGAGAACCTCATCCGGTACGCCATGGAGCCTTGTAAGGATCTACATTTCTTAAGTTTCTTTAAATAATGATTTTCCTAGTCAACGTCAGCAGGAGAATCTCATCTATTATTGTATGCCTTTTTCACGGAGTGTTACGAAGATCTAAGCACCAATAATGACATTTGCAAAGTCTCCTTCAATAATTATTTTGATATGTGTGTCCTCCGGGCTAACGACCCCTATCCTTAGCGATATCATCTCTACCTCATTTAATCTGCAAGGAGAAAAGCGCTACGAGCAAGAAAAGTACCTTTGCCAGAATCGTCTCTAAGCAAACCCCTTACAGTCCAAGCCCATCTCCTCCATCGAGCTACCATCACATTTTAATTTTAGGAGTGTTAGAAAACTCGACCTTAGAAAGAACCTAGCCATGAGCCAAGTCCGGCTAACTGCCCCTAATTAGGTTAGTCCCATCCGGGCTCAAAAAGGTTTAAAAATTAAATAAAAAATAAAAAAATCACAAGAAATATAAAAATATATTTTTAAAATATAATTAAACGTAATACATCCAAATGAGATAAAAGAAGTAGTGAAAAAAATGATTTTACAAAATCAATTCGTCCCCAAGGCTATTTTAGCAATAATAAAAAAAGAAGGGATTTTTTTTAAAAAAAAGTACTTATGGCCAAAATACTTCTCAATCTTCAAACAATAAAAGACATTAAAAACCCTATTACAAATGAACTTCCTTTTTTAAAAAATTTTATAATTTCTTTTGAAATTTTTTTAAGTTCCTGGCTAACCTGCCAAAACCAACCATGCATAGTGGCCAGTTCCAGATAATCCTTTCGGGTCCAGGTCAACCTGGTCGGTTTTGCAAACAATGAATTTCGGCCAACCACTCTTTGGTAGGGCTAGTTTGATGCCTTTCCACTACCTTTCTACTTTAGATTGGCCGAAATATGCATGTTGTTGATTATATCCTCCCTTGTTGTGTCAGTCAATTCTTTTAAGGAAAAAGTTTGTATAAGGTTACAACTTTAAAATGTAGAATTACCGATGCACCTCAAAAATCCATCAAAAAAGGCTGTTTTAATATTGGAAAGCTCTCTAATTGATCATCTCGACTTCCAGATGTATGATTATGGAAACTTCTCAACTTCGAGATGTATGAATATGGGAAAAAAAAAAATTTAAGAGTCCCAAAAATAATGCATCTTACAACACATTATCTAGACCGTTCATTTTCAAAGTTTTCATATGTTTATAGATCTACTTGATTTTGACCGTTTTTGGAGTTTAAAATTTTATAATTAAAGATAAAAATAGATTTTTCAGATAATCCTAAGAATTTTTTACATCAAAATTACATGTTATAATAAAATTTGCAAATGCGCCTTAATTGGATTGTTTAAGGTGCAACCTTTATAGAAATCACACCCGTAAAAAAATGCTTTCATCTTTACTGACAATTATCATTATCGAGATATTATCTGTGAGTTGTATTACAAGAATATTATCGTGTTTGTCTTTTTAGTCGGGATTTATTGAATAATTATCATGAGTTTACCATTTTAGATCAAATATATTATTTATTATGAAATAAATGATTATTAAGAATAGTGAATTTAAATTTCAAATTATACAAAATAAAAATATAAATATGTCCAAAAATTATAAATGACAAAGTGGAAAATAATTTTTAATATAGATCAAATCTAACTTAACAAATTTAACTGTCAATTGCCTGCAAAATTCTCCAAATTGCCTTACAGATATTGTTGAGCTTTTTTTAGGTAAACGAAATAATATCCTTTCAAATTCAAACATCTAATTTTAGATTCAACTTCTACCAATCAAACATTCTCTGTTATGGATGGATACTCGAGGAATAATCAAATTAGAATGGCCCCAAAAGATGAAGAGTTGATGGCTAAAGCAATCTTCTGTTAAAAAAGCATATCCTTAGGTCTAAAAATTGTAAGGCCAACATAAAAGAAACCACCATTTTCGAAGATATGTTGCATGATGTGGTGGAAATTTGTTTCTTACCTCTTACATGATTTTTCTTCAATTCTCTTTATGTTTGTCCCTGAGCTTCCTAGTAAGCTTTATGAATTACTCTCATTAATAGGCTAAACATACTCTAATAAAAGGTTCTTGTTTAAGGGAGTGTGCTTCTATAGGACCTTCTCAACTGACTTGTAAGTGGAACTTCTTGAACAGGTTGCTCCCCCTCATCCACAGTACATGGTACTCAAGTATCACTTTCACTTGATTTGTCATCTATTTCTTATTGTAATTCTTCCCTATCATCATCATGTATCAAGGTAGGAGGAACTTTAGCTTTATCTTATAAATCATCATTGAAGTGCAGTGGTTTCTCTGGCTTCTTTTGGGTCTAATGGTTGGGTCTTCTAGAAGGTCATAATCTACTCCACATCTCCTTGTTTTTAGGGTCCTATTGTCTATAATTGAACTCTTCATCTGAGTACTCCAAGAAGACACATAGTAATGTTTTCTCGTCCAACTAGAATCTTTGGTTTTTGTATTGCACTTGAATCCCTTCGAGTATGAACTAAAAATATCTTTCCATGTCCAAATTGTGCATGGGATATCACCATCTAGAGGCAATGATGGAAATCTATAGATTTGGTGGTACGCGATGAGGATAACTTCACTATAAATGTGGCTTAGTGACAGGATCCCTATCTACAACAGCGTGATTCATTCTTTCTACTACACTATTATGATAGGGGGGGTAAGGCATTGTCTTCTTGTATCTTATGCTATGCTTGGCACCGTAGCTTCTAAAAGTATTTAAAATGTATTCCCCTGTGTTGTTTGTGCAGATACAATTCAAGAACTTGCCCTCTCTCCTTCCATTTTGGCATGGCATTGAATAACAAACACTTCATGGGGTCTAAATGTGTTCTTTAGCCTAGGAAGAATACACTTCTTACCTAAGATGTGCATGTCTTTCTCGCTCATGTGGCCGAGTTGCTTATGCCAAATGTGTGATAAGATTTATCCATGGTGGTAGCATCCTCACCATTGGAAGCATGTAGATATGTTTCATGCATAGAGCAATACTTCTTGAGTTTGCCATGACAAGAGATCTCTTTGCAAGTTTCCAATGTCCTTTAAAAAATGTTGAGTGGTACCTTTCATTTTCCAAGCATCCTTCTGAGATGAGATACAAATCTTAGCCGATTTGGCTCTAAACCATGGGCAACCGATTCTACTCACTCATCCAATCTTTTAAACACTTTTATCAACTTGTTCCTTTGATGTATATGCATTCTAGTGAGGGTGTGGTTTGTATACAGTTGAGGCGCTGAACAATCAAAGTAAGACATATCTCTAAATAGTGTTGGAAGATGATTTTTGGTAGTAAAAATCTTTGTGATGGCCTAGAAATTTGTTTTTATCTATAATTATAAAACTTAAAGCTTAAAAAATAGTGTAGATCGAACAAATCGATAAACAATTGAAAATATTGAAAATTTATAACTCAGATAATGCATTACAAGATGCACTATTTTTAGACTTGGAATCTTTTTTTTTTCCTTCATGTCGATACATCTTGTGATGGATTTGAGGGTTTTTGGATATCGAAACAACCTCTTATAGTGATTTTTTGAGGTGCACCTAATATGATTATTTAGAGCATCAACCGTATATAAACTTTTTCCATTGAATGATCGGATGTTGAGTCTAGCAAGTGATATCAAGACTTGATTCAAACATCAAGCTCGAAAACAATAATAATTAATCTTCTGGTTTCATATAGTCGAAATATAGATAAAAAAAATGATTTAGATCTTATAAAGTAATTTAAAAAGATCAAAGTCATGTTGTTTTGAGAGAAGATAAAAACATGAAATTTGTAGAAGAATGTTGTTTTTAATTTGAGCATTTGAAAATAGTTGCATTTATTTCATATGTTACACTCTCAAGTCCCATTTTTTTGAAAGTATAATGTATTTAATTTTATCTCTTTTTCTATATATCATATTAAGCTCTAATTTGATATGTTTATACTTTTGAACATCAAACACCTAAAAATATATAAAGAATAATTGAGAATAAATAAAATTACTTGAATACCCCTAAATACTATTCGGGTATTTTGGTTGTTTATTATTCTTTAATAGATCAAATTTGAGATTACTCCAATCTATAGAAAAACAGATAAAATAAAAGGGAAAGGTTTCTATACTTCCCCTACAGTATAGAAGATCTATACTTCCCCTACTATCCAGACATCCAATTTTGATCAAGAGAGCCACTCACCGTTTGATTTTAGATCCAACACCTCAAAGTAGTTTATTTTTAGTTTTTTCTATATAAATTATATGAATATGAAATTTGGTGCGAGTCATATTCTCATTAGGGCGCACTTATAAAAAATATTAAAAATATTTTTTCAATAAAGTATAATGACCAAAATTCCCCTTGAAACTTTCAGGGGTATTTTGATCATTTTCTTTTATTAGAAATATTTTTTTTTAACAGAGGA